CTCCTTCTTTATTAACAAAGCAATGTAGCTCATTTTCTTTGTAGCCTGATCTTGTTCACTTGGTTTCCAAACAATAAGAAAGTTTAAAAAATTTGAAGACGTAAATAAGAGAAAAAAATGCAATTTTTAAGAACAAACCTTTCTTGCTTTTGAGTCTTGTGTACAGCCGTACAGACGCTCATAATCGCTACAACCTCGGGCTGAAGTACATAGCATAACCAACAACAAGAGAAGAGAGAACATCACCAGCGAATTGACTGAATTCATCTTCAAAGTATTAACAGACTGCACTAGAGAAATACATTTTGCGTTGTCAAACAAATATTTATACTGACAGTACCATGCCTCAAATAAAGCAACAAATTTGTTTTGGTCAATGAAGTACAATGGCAATGTTCAGAATGTTTACAAAGAACTGATATCATGCCCTTGTAATAATTTATTAGATGGTTTTAGTGAACCATGATGCTGGTAGTGAACTTGAGCAAGTAAGAAAAAAAGAGAGGTTCTCTAAGTTTGAAGAAGATTTTTTCAACATTTTCACTTCTCGTTTTTTAATTCGTTTTCTTCTTCCTGCGAAGCAATTTTGAAAACTCATTAATCTATGCAGTGGGCGATCCTAATAGTGACATAATACTACCACTCAATTAGGATAACGTTTCTTGATCGCAAGACCGTAGTTAGTAACCCACGCACAGAATCAATTAACTGAATCTTATCTCAGTCAGCCGGGACAGTTATGCTAAAAAATGTGGTCTTGGTTAAAATAGATAAAAATGCCGATATAATGAACTTATAATTACCCAATTTTGCCAGCTAAAATTATCAGCCAGTATTGAGTTTAGAGATGTTTATTCCTCAAAACCAATTTGAATCCAATAATAACTATTACCACCATCAGATGGATCTCGGCTCTAGAATGAATGACACCCACGTACACTACGACACAATACCACACAGCTGGACTATTTTCAAGTTAGTTTTTCATTGATGTAGTCCAACCTTAGATTTGGAATCATTTTTTTCTTTGTAATTCTCAAAACTATAATATATCAACATCGTTTTTTTGATACATAAATAAGTTAAAATCATTTTGATATAATGTCCCGACATTTCGGCGACCTCATTACGCCACTTATCAAGGAATGAGTATGAAAGAGAGTTTAAAAGGAGTTCAAGTTCTTTTAAATCATATATTAAGGTTTGGTTATGTAGCTACAATATAACAAATGAAACATTTTCTCAAAAGGGCCCAAAAAAATTGCAATGTACTTCCGCCACTTTATTCATATAGGAATTATTAATCATTTCAATTTTAGATGATCATATTTCAGTACTAAACAAGCAACGTAAAGATGAACCTATGGCAATGAAACATTCAATAAATTTTTAAATTTCGGCCTCCTTTATTTATCCCGCTTATTTACATAGCTGTGAAGACCATAAAAAGCAATTCAATCAGGATAAACATTGAACAAAGTTTAATCAAAATTTATTGACCTTAGTCTATTTTAAGAGTCGGCCACTGCCAGCATGTAAGCTTCGGCTATTACGAGCATTAAGTATTGTACACAGACTTATCAGATCAAAAACGTATGTGTTGGTAAAGTGAAGTTAAATATGTCACACAGCAAGAAACAGGGGTCCTCGTAAAAATCGTTGACCACAAAGGAAAGATTTGTTGAGAAGGTTAGGGTTAATTTTGATTTAAATGAAAACACCTTATGTTTTCATGATGAAACGTGAATTTGGTACATATTTTATCACTGCCAAAAACAATAAAACAATAAGAGCTCTTTTCGTTTCCATTACCCACCCAGATGCCACGCAGATAAATACGGTAAATTTGTTCATAATTGTCGATGATTATGACGTCTTTATCAATGTTACAATCTCTTTTTCGGTAAAAATTGATGCAAGTTTTAAGCTTCTTGGACATGTTAAGAGTGAATTCCTTTTTTATCTCCTAGAATTCTAAACAAACAACCATACATTGTCGCCTTATCTATAGTCTCTATCTTTTCCTAATGAATTTTTTTTTAACTCTGCTAAGTAACGGTAGCTTAGTATGTTCGGCTTTAATTAGTAAGAGAAATAAAAAAATGGTTCTTTTCGTATCACACGACGCGGAATTTGAAAAAGCAAGAAAGTTGATGTAGTAGCCTTTTGAGTCAAGTCATCAGCATCATCAAATGATGTGTTTCCAGGGTTGGCAGAATAAGTCGATTCTTTTTATTTCTCTCCCCATCCCAATACTATCCGAAACTGTCAGTGCACAAGCAAGAAGCGGGCAATGTCCATGCTTACCAGTCTTAAAACCTGGTCGATCTTCGAATTACGAAATGCCCATTAGGGGGCAGTTGTTATCGTGTTTTTTATTACGTATTTAGCAGAAAATTTAGAAATAATTTTGCACCAGTACATTCCTTGATGGATTCAAGCCATTAAGATCCCCGTGATAAATTGTACTTATAAGAGACCATTGAGACTAGAAGTAATTACAACTCTTGCTCGCTCGTCGACGCCGGAGAAATGAAATCTTTCAAATTTCTTCTTTTTCTCAGTGGCCTGCTTCTGGTCGTGTCTGCAGCTCCCCGACCAAATTGTAATGGATGGGGCATTGCCTATGGTTGTCAGTTTAAGAAGGTTTGTAAAACATAAGAAAACCATTGATTTACGTAGCTGTGGTAATTAAGCTTTCCTAGACTACTTTTTCTCTCTCAGAACGTACGTACAGTACTATCGTTTCCACTAAATATTTATCTTACAAAAGTAACTTGGATCTTCTTTTCTCTGAGAAGTTGTAGAGTTCTTCATTGCAATTGCATTTACGGTATATAAACGAGTAATGACCTTTTAGTTAAAGAGTTTTTAGATCATTATACAGTACTGCCTTTTTCTTTTTCATAGTTTTTCCTAAGCACTACACAAAAATCTCCTCTTAAAATAATATCGTGTTAGAATATTCTGGAAGCAAAATGCATCGCTACCAGAGCCATATATGGGATGGCATTTAGGGCGCGTTTAAGTCAATCAAATTCGGATCCAGACTCAGTGATTTTAATTGTTTCATTAAAAGCGCAATGTTAGAATATATTTCAAACAATCTACGTTCAAGCAGGGTTCATTAGACTCGTGTTTAATTTGCTTAAAGACTAGTAAATCGGGAAACTAACTTATCACAGTGACCTTATATTTTCATTTCTAGGAATGGAGAGGCCATCCTGACAAAAACTCTTTGTATGATAAACTGTTTTCAGAAGCTGATAAAATCCGGAGGCAGGACTCAAAGAGAGGGCCATGGGTTAACGATGTTGAAAACGGGGGAATAAAAAAGCGAGACTATCGTGGCATGAACTAGATCAAAAACTAAACACAGGTGTTGACGTAAGATTTAAAGTCAATGTTCAAACCTGAGTTTTAAGTTGTTAATTAAAAGATTGCAATGCTAAGAATTGTTAAAAGTTAAGTTTTTGTCTATAAGGCTGGCTAGCTACTTTGAAGATCACGAATTGTACATGTTGTACTATTTCAAACTGTGAATAAAAATTAACTTCTCACAGAAATACCCTTATGTACGTCTAGGCGTCAATAGGCGTTTTCATGTATTGCATAGTTTACCCATCGTCAAATGACAGTTTATATAACAGCTCAGTCAGTAATGATCAGTTACGCAAGAAGATATCTGCGTAGACCTTGTCACGGTTTTCGACGCCATCTTGACGAGTCGGCAAACGCCTGCGAAATTACAATGTTTGTATGAGAATCTGATGTCGAATAATTTCCGTAGAACGGCTTTTCTGAAAAAAAAATATTAATCGTAAACTAAAGCTTCACTCCTAAGGATTCTACTGAAAAAAAGTTGAGGGCGTTACATGCCCTAGAAGACCTAGAACCACTTTTTAGAATTTTCTATACATTTGTTTGTAAGAAAGTCCCGGGAAAAATTACAGACAAATATATGGAAAATCTAAAGCAAGTCTCTGGAGAAATTTAAGCATAGGTACGCCCCCAAAATTTTTTAGTGCAATCCTTTCCTTGGTAGCTTTAGTTTGCAACTGATATTTTTTTTGAGAAAAGCCGTTTTACGGAAATTATTCGACATTAGATTTTCATACAAACACTGTAATTTCTCACACGTTTGCCTACTCGTCAAGATGGCGTCGGAAACCGTGACAAGGTCTATTAACCACATGGAAACCTTCAAAGTTTCCCTAACAGCTTATATTTTCCAGTCCAGTGTCTGAATTAGCACCTTTGTTTCCTTGTTCAACATATTTTGCCTCAAGGAAGAAAACTGTAGATAACTCAGGTTCTACTAGTAAAACGTATGTCCACCTCCCATGTGATAAATTATTGAAAGGAATTTTTTTTCAAGAGAAACGTGAGTTTGTAGCTACCATTAGCAAACATCCCACATTCTTCTTTTGTTCCAATTTGTTATAAAGAAACCGCATTATCGCTGTATAAATAAGTAATATTAACAATTAGACTACTCGTGCCAGTTTTGAGACGAATCAATTGTCAAACAGGCGCTACAAACTTCTTTGACTATTGACTGAAAACGAGAACGAGTATAGTAGTCTAGTATGCGTAATTGTTTTTTAGTTCAATATACAATGACCAACAAGCATATTACCTTCGATTGTGATTCAAGTTCCTCAGTTACCTTTAACCAAACTCCATATTCCATAGTCCATATTTTGCAGCCCCTTCAGTTTTTAATTAGTTTATCTACTTCCTCCCTAGAAACTTCTAAAAGGAGATTTCATCAACTGCTTTTGTTCAAAAAGCTGGCCCACTCAGTACTATTTAACAAGCTGTAGATAGAGAGTACATAGGCCAATCAGATTGCAGAACCGTGATAGTATGTTTACTTAGTTCTAACTAAAAAAAAAGCCGCAAATTGAAAATCTACTTCTAACAGGTTTTTATAAATACTGAGATGTTATATCTTAGTGCTGCGAAAGTGTTTTCTGAGGTTTACAGACTTACAGAAGATGAATTGGGTGGTGAGCTCGTTAGCAATTGCTTGTCTCTGCCTGTTTTTGGTTGTACAAACAAACGGTCATAGATGCAGTGAATATGAGAAAATGTTTGGATGCAAGGTTTGTCACTATCTTCGTGTGAATGTTTTTTGGTTAAAGTGGTTTCAAAACCCAAGGTTAATTTTCTGTTTAGTTCCTGGCGATTATTATTTCTTAACCTAGAACACTGACTTTATCGTAACAATTAAGGGTCCCCCGTCGCTAGTTAGATTGTCCTATTGCGCACGTCACAACTGTAAAAACACGTTTTAGCAAACTTAGCCCAAGAGCGTCCACTCAATTACTTATAACAATGTTGAGGAGAACTTAAGGTCATTCCAGTCTTCAAATGGCCACAGTGACCTGATTGAAAATGCTTCGGGCTCATTTGTACCGAGGTCGGTAAGTCGTGTAATGAGACGTTTTAGAAAATCAAATCGAAATAACCGTTTTAAAATAAATATTTACCGTTATAATTTTCAGGACTCAAGGACCATCCCCGTAAAAAGTTATGAATGCACTGAATATGAGAAACTCTTTGGATGCAAGGTTTGTCACTATCTTCTTATGCAAGTTTTTTTGCTTTAACGTGGTTTCAAAACCAAAGTTAACTTACTTTTTAGTTCCTGGCGATTTTTATTTCCTACTGATTTACATTTACTTTACAGTAATACGTTAAAAGGTCCTATTGAATTGTTCACAATTGTTAAGCTTTAACAAACTTAGCCCAAGAACGTCAATTACTTAAAAGTGTTGAGAACACCGAAAAACAAGTGAAGACTAAGTCATTTCAATCTTCATGTGGCTACTGTTGACCTAATAAAAAAATGGCCGGCTAAGTTGTACATGGCCGAGTATGAGTCTTGTATTAAGACGTATAAACTTTTATAATCTTCAGGACTCTAAACGCGAAAACCTTAAAAGGCATCTCCGAGTCTCAGAAAGAATTCCAGAAGCTCATCGCTCTCCAGTTCCGCTTCCTGATGAAGGATGGAACTTAAAGATGGAAAGCGGCTTCAAGCACAGGAAAAGAGCATTACTGAACTACAAATACCAAGATCAAAAGCAGGAACACTGAGATGAACTGCGTTGATGATTGAGGTTTAGGACGTTTAGCAACTATCACAGTTAAAGAAAATCTTGCTAAATTAAAACCTATTTTAGAGGACCAAATAACATTTTGGAATGTCTTTGATATGCTAAAGCTAATTTGACGATTAAATATTTAGAAGATCAAATGCTCATTTGAGAGCCGTGTGTTCCTCGTGTATTATTGGTATAAAAAACTTCTATTTGCA